TAGCTTCTACTGAGGTTAATTGTCCTATAAAGTGAGGAGAAAGGCTGAGACCACCATGCAAATTTGATATAATACTGCATGAAGACACTGGATAAGGTTATTTTCGATATGTGTGAGGTATCGCCAGTACCCCACATATTCTCAGCTGTACATCTATCTGGACCACTGTCTAATTAAATGATTCTATCAAAGTTCTGTCCCAATGAAAGCAGAGGAACCTAGATGAGGAAGCTCTACCCTGGCAAGATTGGAGTAACTATGGATACAGGTTCTCTCTGGATTCAGAGAATTTCCATCTTGTTCCATCTCTTGTGAATGGGATTGCATTTCTGCAGAAAAAAATATTGCAGAGTTTGGGAGTCTTCCTGGACTCACAACACCTGTAAGAAAAACAAGTGGCAGATGTGTCAGAAAGGATTCTACACAGATTTCTCTTGTGTGTCAACTATCCCAAATATGCTTTTTCAAGAGAAAACTGGGCTTTCCAAGTAGCTTCTTCATCTCTGACTGGATGGTGAAGAAGTTGAAGAAGCTTCTTGGATAAAAAGTGAAATGTCTTCAAGGAAAAACCAGAAAGTCCAGTTGCCTCTTGAAAAAGCCCCTTTGGGACAACCATGACCTGGATGACTGAGAATCTCCATAGACATTTGTATCATCTAGTCTGGGAAGGTCAAAAATGATCTTTTCATGCCTTGGATTGTAGATTACTACAATGTAATTTATTGCTCTTGATGACTACTTGGAAGCTTCAGCTGATTCAGAATGTAACAGTAGATGCAGTTATAGGCATCTATTATTCCGTAATACATACGTTTCACAAACTGCACAGGTTACCAATATGTTTGTGCAAGCTCTACTGGTTATCAGGGTTCAGTTCAAGGTACTTGTTATCACTATAAAACCTTACATAGCAAAGCAGTATATACCACTTCACTGTGCTTTATAGCATTGTCTGAGCAGTTTAAAGAGTCAGCATATTGCCCCCAACAATCTGGGTCCTCATTTTATCAACCTCGGAGGGATGGAAGGCTGAATCAACCTTGGTTCAGTGAGAATTGAACTGCTGGCAGCTGCCAAACTCCAGGCTGGATAGAGCCAAATTCCTTATATAATGTAAGATCTCATATTTCGGGATTAGAATTTAGTATGATATTTACATTTTTAACCATTATAATTTTCCCCAAGCTATAATTAAGTTGAAAAGGAACAATTGCTGGAGATGATCAAATCAGATGAATCATTGAGCCCTCAAAATTTCTTACATTAGTAGCATAAGAAATCAGATAACCTAGTTACAATTTTCTGTAAGAGTTTTCCTTTTTTTTCCTGTCCTTTTTTTCTAGAGAGATTTTCTCTTTCTTAAATCTTAGATGCGCTGATTTTCCAAAATTGGATATTTAATTCCTTATTCCACGTGTCATGGATGTTACCAATGTTGTAATTTCATCTTATTTTTTTCATTTAATATAAAACAGAATTGTTGGTTTCACTTCAAAGACATGGCATCTCTTAAAGCTGCTGGAATTCCAGATATCTTTGACATTGGATGTTATTTTGTCAGGCATGTTTTAATGATACATACTGCTAATAAAAGTATTCAAATAACATGTTTTTAGAAGCCTATTTCAGCGAAGCATCTGAAATCTTTATTATATGCTAGTTAAGTACATCTCCACAAAGTATGTTTAGTTTGATTCCAGCTGGTTTGAGTTATTTCTCTGGTCCAGTCTCTGTGTTTTAAGCAGGATTTTATAACTCATGTTATTCAATAGCTGAATTCAATAGCTGAATAACAAGACAAACATTCCCATCTAAAATGTTAGGTTGACCCTGTGATACTTTGTAGGGTGTGAGAATTCTTCACTATTAATTGAAAATTCTCCCATTTCTGCTTGAGCATCGCCGTCGGTGACTTCTCTTGAACAGCTAATTAGTCCGATTATTCCACAGATGCATAGGTTTACCACAAAGGTTTTTCTCGTAGTTTATCAAACGGATCATTCTCCTTGGGAATGTTGCAAACTGACAGGCTTGGAATAGTAACACAATCATCATTCTCCATCCCCATCTCACCTCTGTTGGAAGGACGGGAGGAGAGGGGGGAGAATGCAAGGGAATAAATTGTTAGTGGTCTGAAAAATCTGGATTTGATCCATTTGGCAGTTGGGGGTTGGGAAATATCCAAAAATGTGCACCTTTCAAAGTCTGGATTATTGAAATGCCAAATGAACCACTGGATTCAGGTAATAAGCATTCTGGAGAAGATTATAAGAAATAAGCTTCCTTCCCTCTCATTTGCTTCCAGTCAAATTTGTGTGTGTGGGTGTGTTGTGAGATAGATAAATTTGCTACAGTTTTTACTTCCTTGCATTGCTAGTGTTTGAAATGTACATTAAACTCATGATAGTCTTATATAAGCTTTATTGAGACCGTGATCCTTGTTAGATCTACATTGCAACAGTATTGTTTGCTTGTTTATTATTATTTCAGTGGAATTTTCAGTAAGAAAGAACAGTAAAAATGAATTACATAATTCACATTTCTATTCATAATGTTCCTAAAGTAGCTACATAGCTACTACCTATGCTGTGCTGTGCTGTGCTATGCTATGCTATGCTATGCTATGCTATGCTATGCTATGCTATGCTATGCTATGCTATCCTATCCTATCCTATCCTATCCTATCCTATCCTATCCTATCCTATCCTATCCTATCCTATCCCATGTGTTTCTTTAGCCTAATCCCTTATTTAAAATTTCTGTCTTAAACATTAATATGTTTAATATTTTTTAAAAAATATTACATAAAGCAATCACCCCATTTCCTTCTACACACAACTCCTAACTAACTTCACTGATTACATTTCCGCAATATTAAATTGTTTCAATTTACATACCGTGTTTTCCTGAAAATAAGACCCTGTCTTATATTTTTTGACATCAAAAAAGGCACCAGGTCTTATTTTCGGTGTGGGTGGGTGTCATCCACTGACTCACCTCACTTTCGCATGTTGCCCCCGGCCTCCTTTTCACTGTCAGAGGCCTTCTTTGACCGGCAAAGCTTTCTTGAAGGCCTCTGCAGCTGATGACAGAGCTCCAGACGGATCCAGAGCTCTGTTATCGGCTACAGAGGACTTCAGGAAAGCCTTGCCGGCTGCAGAAGAAATGGGCCGAAGTGTACAAGGCCTGGCTGCAACTGTCTGAAGGTAAGTAGTAGGGCAACTCCGCACCACATCCCCAACTTAGCTTAATTTTTATCTGTGCACCCAGGAGTGAGTGGGGTTTTAATTCGGGCTTATTTTGGGGGGTAGGGCTTAAATATTGGGCACGTGTAAAAATCAAGCTAGAACTTACTTTCGGGATAGGTCTTATATTCGGGGAAATATGGTATTTTGATATACCCTGTTTCCCCCAAAATAAGACATCCCTGATAATAAGCCCAATCGGGCTTTTGAGCGCATGGCAATAAGGCCAAGCGCTTATTTCAGGGTTAAAAAAATATAAGACAGGGTCTTATTTTCAGGGAAACACGGAAGTAAATTAAGCAGTCACCAATAGCAATTGATGTGTCTGTTTCACAAATAACTTTTAAATGCTTGAAGGGAAAAAAAACCCCACTTCTTGTTTATCTTGACAAAACTTTGACCCTATCATTGTAATAATTGCAGGATCTGAAACAAAATTCTGCAGGAGATTGTCCAGACAAAGCTGCACTACTTAGGCATTTCACCAGTTTTCTCACAAAATTTTCAGACAGTCATTTTGCCTGAACAGGTAGTCCTTGACTTACAGCAGTTCATTTAGTGCCATCCAAAGTTACAACGGCACTGAAAAAAGTGACTTACGACTGTTTTTCACATTTACAACCTTTGCAGTATCGCCATGGTCACCTGATCAGAATTCAGATGCTTGGCAATTGACTCAGATTTATGATGGTTGCAGTATCCTGGGATTGTGTGATCACCTTTTGCGACCTTCTGATGAGCAAAATCAGTGGGGAAGTCAGATTCACTTAACAACCATGTAACTAATGTAACAACTGCAGTTATTCGCTTAACAACTGTGGCAAGCAAGGTTGTAAAAGGGGCAAGATTCACTTAAGAACAGAAAGATTGGGCTCAATTGTCCAAGTCATAAGTCGAGGACTATTTGTTCAGCATACCTGTGTTGTTATAGCAATTCTTTACTTGAGCAGCTGGGGTGATAGCCCAATTGAGCTGGAGTAGAAAATTCCCATTAAGCTAGACCTTTGAATTCAGGTCCTCTCTTAGTACGAAAGCTGTCTGGCTGACTTTGAGACAGTCACTGTCTCTCAGCCCAGATCCCTTTGTTGTGGGAAAAGTAGGAGATAGAAGCGTTATGTGCACCACCTTGAGCTGTGAAAAATAAAGACAGAATAATAATCTAATAATAAATCGATCCAAGGAGTCTGTTATTGAATGGGCATGTAGGCAATTCCATTTTCAGTATAATTACTGGGCCAATATGCATACAAAAACATCAGACATTTTCCCCCTCCAAAAAGAAAAATGGAATAAGAGAATTCTGACGGAAAGAGTAGGGCAGTCAAAGACATCTTCTTTCTCCTTTTCTGAATTAGCAAAGCAGTGCTATATAACGATTGGGGTGCCGATCATTATTTATTTGTCTATTGATCAAATTTATATGCCACTCATCTCGGTAGTCTAAGTGACTCTGGGTGGCTTACAGGGAAATAAAAATATAAACATCAGAACAAGTATAAATATTTTAAAAAATGTAAAAATTACGAGAGTTAAGCGACCTTCGAAGACTAGAATGTAGCTGAACGTTTTTGTGTTAAACAGGGATCAAGCCCAGCAATCTGTAGATTCACACCCCTGACGTGCATTTTTCCAGCCTTGCAAAAGTTTTTGCCTATGTCCTAGCCCCATGCAATGATACCATCCCAAAGCCTGACTCTTTCAACTCCAGCTAATATTTACTGAGCAGTGATGAGTGTTCTCTGGTGTTTCCCTCAGCAGTTTGGAGCACCCTGGAGCTTCCAAGCCTCCGCTAAGCTCCTCCAATATGACATCACGGATTTTGCTACGACAGCAGCTCATGCGTGAGCAAATGCAGGAACAAGAACGCCGAGAGCAGCGACAGAAGCAGCAGGCAGCTCAGTTCATTCAGCAGAGAGGGGCTGTGAGTCAGACACCTGCCATCAACGTCAGCCACCCCGCCAGCCTTCCTCCTGCGACCCAGGTGCCAATGGAAGTCCTGAAGGTAGGCGACTGGGTGGGCTCGGATTTGAGAAGGTGGTGGAAGTTTGTTTCCATTAGTGGAAAACTTTCCAAAATTGTTTTGTGCAATAATGACGGAGTTTTTTAAAAAAATCTTCTTATCACTTTTGCTCTCCCTGTGCAACTTTCCCAGGAAAAGTTCATTTGACTAGGCAAGGGATGGAGCTGTCTGTTTTTTGTAAGTGAATTTTTTTCCCCAGAAAGATCCTTTTCTTCCCCATTTTCCCAATGGATGTGAAACACGCTCACCATCTTGAAAACTGGTCTCTTATTTTAGACACTTAAAACAATCATCAAAATAGTTTACAAATTCTTTAACTTTGGTGGAATCATCTTTTTTTTTGTTACTGTATAAATATGTGTGCATCTATGTATATACATGCATATATGCACATACTGTATATATGTATGTGCATGTATACCCACCAAAAGCTTTTTTCAAAAACTAATAGAGATCCTGCACAAAGGATTATTTGAGAAAGGTTTATTCTGGAATATAGTCCTTTGCGGTAAACCATTAGTAATCCTGTTTTGCTCAAATGACTTCATTTCTTTTTGTGACCATTCTGTTCCTTTTCCAACTTCCTAATAGTTAGGGAAGTTGTTTTTACAATAGATAGAATATCAGTTTCTTCACAGAAACTGAATTAAGCCAATAACATTTCTTAAGCAACACTCGGCATTTGACACTAACAAAAGTAATCCCAAAATTCAAAGGGAAACTGCCATTTTCAACCTCTTGTAATGTTTTACCTGCAACATATGCAAACAATTTTTTTCTTTTCTTTTTGTTCTAGAGCTAACGTCATTGTAAACCCAACTGTGTTCCTCCATTTCGAAATACACTTGTATTGTAATGGTAGTTAAATCAAATGGTAAAATTGAGTTTTTAAAATGAAATCTTAATTCTCAGATGCAAAGAGAATTTAGCCAAACTTTCCTCAGTCTGGTGCACTTCAGCTTTACTGAGGTACAATGCTCAGAATTTCCCAACTAGAAATCTGATGGGTGCCAGAAAACTGAGTTGGTTTCATGTCTTTTAAACTAAGACGTGCCAATTTTAGGATTTTCTTCAGTTGTCATATGTTCTCATACTAAAATGGCAGAAAACTATGCTGTCAGGTTTCAACAGTCATAGTCAAATAGGTGTCTGAGAGTTACTAAAAAAAAAAAGGTGTGTGTGTGTTATGTTTTGCTTGGGGTCACAGATTTTCTACCTCTTTCCTCATTGCTGTGGTTTGCAAATTAAAAAGAAAACTACCAATGGTTTTTGTGATATAGCAATAGCAATAGCACTTATATACTGTCCCATGGTGTTTTACAGCACTGTCTGAGTGATTTGCAAAATCAGCATATTACCCCCAACAATCTGGGTCCTCATTTTACTGACCTTGGAAGGATGTAAGGCTGAGTCAATCTTGAGCCAGTCAGGATCGAATTCCTGGCAGTGGACAGAGTTAGCCTGCAATACTGTATTCTAACCGCTATGCCACCACAGCTCCTAACGTCGGGCAAGAATTGGTTGGAATTGAGTTTTCAGCCTCTGTGTTGAATCTTAAAAAATGATTAGCATATTAGGTCCAAATGAAATGTTGTAAGTAGAATCAAGAAGGCCCTAGAACTCATGGAGCAAAGGAAAGAAATTATGAAAAGTTAGGGAACATGGATAATACGATGGAGTTTTGTCTTAAATTGGGATGCAGTAATGGAGACAGAATTATGTAGTCCTGGCAAAGCTTTATGTAAAACAATGCTGTGATTCTAAACTAAGCAAGAGATCTCATTTTAAAACAGGGAGCTCTGAAGAAATATCCTGGTTCCTAACATAAGAACTTAATTCTTATTCAGACTGAGAAGCACAATTAGCATTAAGGTGTATTCTCCAGCATAGCTCTCATATCCAGTCATATGTTCGGGCTAGTTATTATTTTCTCCTGATCAAAATCACCATCTATGTACATTGGCATATATGCACGGATGATTATTGCTAGTGGTTGTTCTAAAGGAGCTTTTTCAAAAAGCAATTGGACTTGGTTTTTTCTCTTGATTTCGATTCTCATCCAAGAAGCATCTTAAGTTCTGCTTCAGTTCGCTTCTTGGATGAGAAGCAAAACATATTCAAAAGAAAAAACAAAGTCCAGTTGCCTTTTGAAAAAGCATATTTGGAACAACTATGACCTGAATCTCCCTAGACAGTCATTGCCATGGAACTCCTACGACCTTCGTCTCTATCTATGATAGGTTTGGTCAAATACGGGTGCTTGGTTGTAATGTGAAAATTTCAGTTAGTACAAAATACGGAAGAAAGAATACAAATGTAAGTAGATATTATGACTATATTAAGCAAGTTTGATGTAATTGTCACTTTCTCCTACTGGCTTCTATCCCCAATTCAGGTTGCTGACATACAGTATTGTTACATTAAAAACAGATAATGCCAGATCAATCTTATTTCATTCTTCAACATAGTGACTAAATTAGTAGACCAGCGAAATACTGTGGACATAATATACTTAGATTTCAGCAAAGCATTCAACAAAGTGGACCACAACTTACTTCTTGCTAAGCTAGAAAAAAGTGGGATAGATAGCATCACCACCAGATGGATTCGTAACTGGCTGACAAACCGTATCCAGTGTGTAGTCCTTAATGGTTCTACGTCTAAATATAGGGAAGTAAGCAGTGGGGTACCACAAGGTTTCGTCTTGGACCCAGTACTGTTCAATATCTTCATAAACGGCTTAGATGAGGGAATAGAAGGGGAACTTCCCAAATTTGCAGATGATAATAAGCTAGCAGGAATAGCTAACACCCTAGAACAGTGATGGCTAAACTTTTTCTGGACCGAGTGCCCAAAGCACGCGGCCCGCCCCCCCTACATGGCTCATGTGCATGCGGTGTGCCCCCACACTCCTAACCATATGCATGCACAGCAGAGACCCCTGCATGTGCCCTACCCCCTGCGCATGCACGGAAGGGACCTGAAGACCAGCTGGTCGGTGGGAGGTGCGCACGCATGTGCAATGGAGCTGAACTGAGGCAATGGCTTGCGTGCCCACAGAGAGGGCACTGCATGCCACATCTGGCATGCATGCCATAGGTTCGCCATCACAGCCCTAGAAGATAGGGTCAAGATGGATCCAGATGGATCTTGACAGACTTGAACACTGGGCCCTATCTAACAAAATGAAATTCAATGTAGAGAAAAGCAGTCTTACGCTTAGGCAAGAAAAATGAAAAGTACACATATAGATTGGGTGAAAGCAGGCTTAATAGCAGGAGCTGTGAGAAGGATTTTGGAGTCCTAGTGGACAACCAGCTAAATATGAGCCAACAGTGTGCAGCAACAGCCAAAAAAACCCAATGCAATACTAAACTGCATTAACAGAGGAACACGATCAAGATCAAGTGAGGCACTAATACCACTCTATAGAGCCTTGGTAAAACCACATCTGGAATACTGCATCCAGTTTTGGTCTCGATATAGATCATAAGAAAAATGTTGAGACTCTAGAAAAAGTGAAGAGAAGAGCAACCAGGATGATTAGGGGACTGGAGACTAAAACATAGGAAGAACGGTTACAGGAACTGGGCATGGCTAGTCTAGCGAAGAGAAGGACCAGGGGAGACATGATAACAGTATTCCAATATTTAAAGGGCTGCCACAGAGAGGAAGGGGTCAAGCTATTTTCCAAAGCACCTGAAGGCCAGACAAAGAATAATGGATGGAAACTGACCAAGGAGAGAAATTTTCTGACAGTGAGAACAATCAACCAATGGAACAGCTTGCCTTCGGAAGTTGTGGGAGCTTCATCACTGGAGGCTTTCAAGAAGAGATTGGACTGCCATTTGTTGGAAATGCTGTAGGGCCTCCTGCTTGGGCAGGGGGTTGGACTACATGACCTACATGGTCCCTTCCAATGCTGTTAATCTAATCTAATCTAATCTAGTATGTAGTAGCCCTGTAGCTCTTAGAGAATCATGCCTGCTGCCTATTTTTTATCCTACCAGGCCCAGACAGGCCTATCATCACAGAGCTTTAATATTTTAATACATTATTATGTTAATTTTTTATAGTCTGGGCTGCAATGGAACATCTTAATCTACCTCTGCTGCCTGTGCTTGTATCCTTTTTATATGATGTACTTTTAATCGCTATCACGTTGACTTGACCAAAGATACGTTTTAGTATAAAACAGCTCACGTGATGTATGTATCTGCTTCTATAGAACAAATTCTTTCATTTCAGTTCACATAAGAATCTTATAACAAGAACTGTGGAAGTTTATTTTTGCTGGGCATGATGCAAGTGAAATCTTTCTCAATTTGGCTTCTTTGATCACAGCAGATTTTAATTTTGTTATATGTGCGTGTATGTATATGTATGTGTGTGTGTGTGTGTAATTATATTTATATACATACACACACATACATACACTCATATATACATTTATTATATAAAATAATGCACAGACTAGTAAGCAAATTCATACACACACACACACACACATTTACTAGTCTGTGTATTGGAAGGCTTGTTGACAACAACATTCTGTTCCTTATCTTATTTTAGTACAGGTAATGCAGTATTTAAGGTGTTGTTTTGGGATTGAATTCACTGTCAGTCATGGAAGCTTAGTAAGTGTCTTTGGTTCAATCATTCTCTCTCAGCCCAATCTATCTCATAGGAAATATTATGGGGTGAAATTGAAGGAATGAATGAAAGGCATAGTGCCATAAGAAAGGTGGGATATAAATCTATAAAAAGAAAGAAAGAAAGAAATATTTTTACTTCTTTGGTTGTTTAATCATAATATTTATTTTTGAAATGGAACTCTGAGGTATCCTCCTGATCTAGTAAGAGATATTTGAAGGCCTCAATTTGGCATTCTCCTTTTGACTTGCATACATCATTCTTTCATAAATTCATACTTTTCTCCTGTAATACCCTATGACCTGGATTATCTATGGAATATGTGGAAA